AAAAAAGCATTCTGAATTACTTAAGTCGTACAAGGTTTATTGCACTCTTCTGTTCAAGCTCATTTGCCTAATGGAAAAGACAATATTATTCATTGCATTACTTATTGACTCGCTATGAATTCCTCTACCATTTCTGCAGTAATTTTCATGCAAAACTGCCAACATGTCTTATAGTTTATGACTTCTTTGTTTAATCTGTCTAATGGAATGTTGCGGTTTTCAGAACGTATTATTCTCAAATGTTGTTCGCGTTACGAGTGAAATGAACGTTATTTGAAAAAAAAATTAAAAGATGTAATAGTATTTGGACGCAACTTTCTATGAATTCCCAAGAACATATAATTCATGATAGAAACGAATGAAATATTGGGGCATTTAAGCAGTTTTAGTCGAATTCATCTGAACAAAACTCAGCTAACAGGCAACAAAATTCAGCAACAACGATGAAACTAGTTGTTGTTGAAGCTTGAACTTGCTTAAATTTTTTTGAATTTTTACATTTCACTTTCTGAGGACCTTATTCCGTTCCTAAATAGTTCCCAATATTTTGTTCAGAAATGTTTCTGATTTCTGATTAGATCTGTTTGCTGTTTGTGTGAACTTTGTGAAATGAATAAACGAATTAATCAAGAAATTTAAGAGATCGAATTTAAGGTTTTCGCGATGATCGAGACCTTTTGACGTCTCGAATCGCGACTTCGCTTTGCCGCATCATTATTTTTACGCCTCCTCTCCCAGTAAGCTTCATCCTTGACCAGTTCCTTCTTTTTACGAACATTCTCATTGCGTACAATCACATTACGATGTGGCGTTTGTATGGGTGTTACAGGCGATGTGTCGTTATCGGACGTCGATGATGTCACCTCAAATTTATGCTTCGTAAATTTTGTCTGCCCAATAATTCAATACTGGTCACGCATTATCTGAACTGATGAGTGACAAATATTCGCATTTAATTCAGATATATGAGTAGTGTCAGACATGAAATTTAGCTGCCTAAAATAAAAATTTTTACCGTCATGCACTCAAACCGGTTAGGGTCATCG